GAATTGCCACCACGACTTAAAATTATCTTCTCTGCTACTTCTTCCGTTCACTTTTACTTGTCACATTTCGATTTTCTTAATTTTTGAACTTAGATTGCATTAGATTTTTTTAATATTTTAAACTTAAAATTTAGATATTCGAAAACTATACGAAAAGTATTATAATTTATAATTTTTCTCATGTCAATATGAAGAAAAATATATGTTAAAATGTTGGTCAAAGTTTATGTAGTGTAACTCTCGAAAAGCGAAATATGAGAAGTACAAAAGTGAACGGAACGGGTATTTATTGGACACTTATGCTTATCGTGTCCGAGTTCCGACGGCAAAGCCACCTTTATTTAAGGGGTATTTTTTCGTCGAAAATTGACCATTATATTTATTCTCAAATATGCAAAACAAAAAAATATTTTAATTAATTCAAAACACACGTGAGAACTTATCCATATACAAACAACACATTGAAGCGTACACTTCACAAGGAATTACTTGAAATCAGGGGCGAAGCTATGTTGGCCAAAGGTGGTCAACCGACTATCTTTGTCGAAAAGTTATATTACGTATAAGGTAAAATACTGTTTGTTATTAATTAAAAATAGACTTTGAACATCATTGCATCAGTGGCGGAGCCACCTTATAGGAAGGGGTGTTCGCGAAAAAAATTTATTGTGTAGTTAGGTAAAAAATAAATTATATATAAATATACTATGTATTGACTCCCCTTAATTTTCTAATATGTTTATTTTTATATATTTTGACACGCCTTAACAAAAATTCTGGCTCCACCACTGCCTTACATAATCCACCGACAAAGGGCCCTTGTTGAATTTACCAATTTCGCCATTAAAATACACATAAAAAAGACATGCATGCAAATGAATTTTCTTAAACAATTCAAAGGAGTTGCGTAGTAAGGATGGTCAACAGTAGTATTAATTAGTGTAGTAGTACTACTTTTACTATTGTGAGATACTGCTAGAACCTATACTATAGTCTTATTCACATATGCCATCATGCATGGGATCCTCTCATAAATGAATTTAAATTTTGTATATTGACAGTGTAAAAATATTTTATTGTATTGAATTAATTAAAAAGTAATTACAAGTAATTTATTCATATTTTGTGGAATTAGTAAATTTCAGAAAAGTTTAAGTTATACACTGTCAGTATAAGAAATCATTTATCCTAAGAGGTTATTACTTAAAGAATATCTACAGCTAAATCTCCTAAGTACGAGATCGTAATCTTGAAAATAAGATAAATTTTGCCGCAACATATAAAGATAATCCGATGGTGCATTAACTGAAACTCATCTCAAACTATAAGCCAAGTAACTTTTACTAATTGTACATATAAATTTTATTACACTAGTAGTGAGGAGTGATGTAGCAAACCTCAATTTATCGATACCACCACGACTGTAAGTAAAAAATCCTACTTAATTTCTTGCATTGAACGGGAACTTAACACTTTATATTAAATGCAGCTAACAAAGATTATGGTGACATGCTAAGTACTCGTCCGTCCTTAACCGAGGTCTCGATATCGAACCTTAAATATGGAATCGTCTTTGTTATGGAGTGTTTTTGCTCCTGATGTGAGACTTTCTGACACGAATCTGTATTTAATCGGGCCCTATGCGAATATATATATATATATATATATATATATATATATATATTGAATGCATGCCATGTCATTGTACCAAGCTAGCTACTCAACCTTTTGATGAGTAAAACAGGGAAAATCCGAGTCCCCATAGCAAATGAGCATTGGCAATTGGGGTTTGCTAACTTTTGCTGGTTTCTTCAGTTAGCTTCTTATTCTCTGCTGACTTCTCTCTATTCATATTTAGCGTAAGTTAGAAGGTAAAAGATGTGTTGACAGAAAGAGAGATAGTACTGCAACTCTACTTACAAGTGATAGCTTCTGCCTCGTTTTGTCACTTTTTATTTACTTTAATTTCTTGCACTCATTGAGTTTTTCTGCACTTTCTGAGGACCCCCACAACCCCAAATCCATATTTACTTCGCTCACGTGGATCAAGGGCAAGAAAACAGTATATAAAAATTGTAATTTTAAAAAAAAAAATAGAATTTGGAGTTAAGTTGAAAAATGATATTTGAAATTTGAATTATGTTTGGACATGCATTACACTTGAAAAAATATTGAAGTGTGAGCAGGGAAAGAGAAATTTCCTGAAAATTTTGAAAAAGTAGTATGATTTTTGAAAATCTCATTTTCAAAATTTTTTCAATAAATTATAAAATTTTACGGACAAACACATTTTTTTAAAAAAAAAAAATTATGGACAAACGGGGCCTAGTTTGCCGGGATAAATTTTTTGTATTTGTAAATGGGAAAATTGACTATATATATTTGTATTATTAGTGCAGTGTAATCAGATCATTATGTTATTTTTCAAGTTTAAAATTGCAACTAAAAGCCATCAAGCCGACTAAAGTCTAACCGTCATATATAATAACCGACTCCATAAAATAGTTATTGTGAAGGAAAGTAAAGGGTAGTTCGGTGTATAAATTCAAGGGGATGTGATGTAAGTAGCCTAACAATGTAAATATCAGTACATGATTTCACGGATGAACGGGGCAAGAGAAATAAACAACACTGATAAAACAAAGAATCTTGTAAGGAATTGACGATATGAATAATATTTACTCAATCAGACTACTTATTAGGTGATTATAAGTAAGTCTTTAGGATAAGTAATTGGTAACTTGATAAATATAAAATAACTTACTATCACATGTTAAGTTATTTCATAAAAAATCTGAATATTATAGTGCATATAACTTAAATCCTAATATAAATACGTAGCAATTGTAGTTAGGAGTCGTTTAGTAGGATGCATTAGATAAAATAATGCATGCATTAGTTTTTGGTATTATTAATCCCTTGTTTGATACACTTTTTCAACCTAGGTATTACTAATGCAAGTATTAGTTATACAACTTATTTGGTATTATCCTACGTATAACTGATTAATACATAGCAAACCATGGTATTAGCAATACCAAGGCTATTAATGCATGCATTAGCATGGATAAAGATAAAATTATCCTTAAAGTCCCTTGAAACTAAAGAATATAGTGGGGATTTTTGTAACCAACTAATTTTCTTAAAAATTATGCAATGCAATTTAATTTTTAATACACCATATCAAACAGTGGATAAGAAACACTCTCGACATACTAATGTTTGCATTACTAACTCATGCGACATTTCTAATCCTTGCATTACGAATACGCTTTATTCAACACTATTCTTATATATACACCTTACCAAACGACCCCTTATTTTCTTTATTCTAGTCAGGGGCGGAAATAGAGCTTCGGTAACGAGTTCGGCCGAACCCAATAACTTTAGTGCAAATAATATATTTATTTTAAGAAATTCATTGAATAGGTATAATTCTTACTTTAGAAGTCAGTAACATAAAATACTAGAATGCCAAACACAATAACATTAAATCCCTCCTCTAATCCTAGTTGCATGCATGTGGCTTTGCCTCTAGGGTATACGAAGAGGGATTATCAGAATCTCATTTACTACGTATCAGTTTTCTCATTGATAAACAAATATTGTACTTTCATTTTTCCTTCTCTATATAAACACCATCTATCTCTTCATATCAATCAATCTTATCCCATTTCTATCACTTCACAACATACCATTCAAGTCCAAATAACACCATGTATTCTAATTTTCTCCTATTTGTCTTTTCCTTAGCTTATTATTTTTCTTCTTCAATTAATACACTTATAATTCATCCATTTTCTTGTTTGGAACGAGACAAGTATTCATGTTTTTTGAAAAGTTTCAAGAAAAATGATTCTCCGATAACCAAACGACTATAGGTCTTTGTTGGTGCTATCCTCGCTGAGCTTGCGTTTTTATTTTCTTTGTTGTCTCATCTTATTTTTCTTTTCTTTTTCTTGACCTTGCAAGGCTTTTCTTTTGACGTTCCTGATTTATTTTCTTTTTTTGTAATTTTTGTGCAGTTCAAATTTCCCACCTTTTCTTTTTTTAGCTATTTCTCCTGAGCTTGAACCTTGAAGTCTTCCGCAACTCTTGTGATATATGAAAAAGAAAATATATAACTGAGTTTTTAGTGTTGGGTAACTATTATAGAAGAATGATTATATGAGAGATTGAGCCTGTTCATTTTCTCATCTTGTTACTTTTTTTCTTTTTTACCTAACTTATGGCTAAGCAAATAATACTACTTGTATCAAGAAATTGATCTTATTAATGTACTCTAATTTGGAGCTGTTAATTAATATTGTGACCGATGCAGTTGGCTGTTTCATACAAGAAAAACAAGTGAAACAGTGATGGCAAAACCAGATATAGCAATTCTGCCAATTAGAGGCAGTTTTCCTTTTTTGAATTTATTATAAGTATCATTTCATATCTTTATGTTTTTTGGTTTTCATCCAAAAATCGATATATGTATTGTGGCCCAGACTAATCCGAACCGCATTGATACCCGACTAATAAGAATTTGCATTGCATAACAACATTAATTGCATTGCATAACAACATTAAAGGAGAAAACGCTTCCTACCGTATTGGAATAATTTTTATTCATTTTTGCGTTTAGTAAGTATAATTTACACATAATTATATTTTTTGGTTCTTATCTGGTGTCCGATACCTATATTGGGGCTTGACTGATTCGGACTTTGTTAGGGCCCGACTAATTAAAATTCATGTTACATAAGGACATTATAGAGGAAAGTACTCTTTACTCTTGAACCTGAGAATTTTTTAGTATATGCCAATTCACTCGAATGGTTAAAAAAAATATGTATAATTTTTTTAGTACATTTCCAAGAAAACACACTTATCCAAAAAAAACATCGTCGTTAATCACAACAAAATTTACTAAAAACATAATTAATACCCAAAAAAACTCGAAAATATTAAAAGAAAATATAAATTGGTGAGACAGAGAGAGGCACATACAGGAGAGCTTCAATAAATACCATCCCAGAATTCTTTTCCTTTTCACTTATATAACATATATGTTACTTATTTACAAGCCAAACTTCATATAGATGAAACATTTCAATTACATTTAGTGGACATAAGGTATAGAAACAAAAGTTCATTTGAAAAAAAAGAAGGGAAAAACCTGTAAATTAAGTTTGAAATAAATAGTTGAATAGGCATGTATAGACCTAATCCATGCACCCTTCAGCAGCTGCTTCCAGTTTCTACAGATTGGCTGAAGGAACACAACCATCTTCTAGCTTCAACGTTTGACGTTGATCGCCTAAAGCTGGATCTTGAACATCGAGTCAGATGTTCTCGTTCAGCGGTTATTGGAACTAAAGACGGACTTGTGTCCGACGTTCCCATACAAAGGCCAGGGCTGAATTTCAAGGCCGGGAATTTTTGACAGCTTAATGAGCGGAAGGAAGAGCCAAGTGGGGAGAATCGAGAGCAATATAAATCCGGCTTGCAAAATGGCGTTTCCAATGTAGTTGGTTCTTGTCCATCAGCTGTACATGCACAGAACGGCAATGATAGGCTTGTTCTCGCTGCTTCCTTGATGATTGGCGTTGTATCCGCCAGCTTAATGAATGAAACGATGCCATGTCGGCATAAAGGGCAGGGAATCGAGCCCGGAGGACCATGTGCCGCGGTTGAGGTGCTGCTGGTGGAACATAGGTACAACGCACAGCGTGTGCAGAACTCATGAAAACAACCTGTAGAACATAGAAGCATTAGATACTGCAGCAACTAGACTGACATATTGGTTACGACAATGCTAACGACGATGAAATGCTACTTCCTCCTTTTCATTTTATATGGCAGAGTTTGATTGAACATGGAGTTTAAGAAAGAAAAAAAGTCTTTTGGCATATACCAAATGTACCCTTAAAACTTGTGATCTTAAACATGTCGTGATATTTCTATGACTATAAGGGGTCGTTTGGTAGGAAAGAAGTTATCCCAGGATTAATTATCCCGAGATTAGTTATTCCACCTTTCCATGGAAATAAAAAAATACTACAATCCCGGGATTAATTATACCGCAGTTTTCTACCAATCAAACATAGGATAAACTTTTCTTAAATTTAGTCCCGGGATTAATTATTTCTTATCCCTCGTACCAAACGAGCCCTAAGAGTATGTTATTAAGTGTAAAATGAAAGACATACCCTCTGCAGCGACTGCACACTTCCTTTCCAGACAAACAACACAAGGATCTAAACAAGTTGATGGCGAATCATTTGTTCTCCATCCACATTCTCTGCAGAATATGATAAACGAGAGAAGTTATTTTCAGCATTCTTAATAGAAAGGAAAATAAGATGAAATGTGCCATTGTTAGTGTCATATATAATTTATGCATGTGCATCAGCGAGTCCGACCAATATTGCTCACCTAGCAATCTTCACTATACTCATAAGAGGGAGGCATAAGAACGGTGAAGGAAGAGGACGTGGTTGCCTTTCTGGACGAGCACTTAAAATTTCCTCGAGCCCATCTCTATGCCATGATCGAGCAACCATCAATGGGGTCCACCTTAAAGCATGTAAAGGAAAATATTCAAGTTAGATGAATTATCTAAGGAATGATAGAATTACTAAAAGAGTTGCCATACGAGAATAAGACAATATTTATCTGTTTCAATAATTCAGCGCCCAAACAAGATTGCCTTTCTTAAGCTCTCCATCGATTTACAATGTTAATATCTTTTCCTTTCGTCTTTGGCTATTCTGGAATACAAGATGTCTTAAAGGGAACAAGGTTCATTTATTATCTGGTCAGTACTTTGGAGAATTCAGTCACAAGCTTATCTAGGATATGTGGTTGTATCTACTTGTATATCAAATAGTAGGGCAGCCCGGTGCTCTAAGCTCCCGCTATGTGGGGGGTTCGGGGAGGGGCCGGACCACAAGGATCTATTGTACGCAGCTTTACCCTGCATTTCTGCAAGAGGCTATTTCCACGGTATATCATCAAATAGTACTGCTAGGAAAAAGTTTATCACATCTAGTCGTAAAAAAACCACATTATGGTGAAATAATAAAAATTGGGACAGAGGTACATGGTCTCACTCTAGCACATTCCAAATTCTATTTCTGCAAAACTACACAGCATGAAAAAGATAACCAAATCAAACTGACACTAAACCTCAAAGTTCAGAAAGACATAAATACAATAGGGATCTTTTAGTTGCTGAATGACAAATCAAATAGCAGCAAGACAGTAATGGACTTGCTAAAGTTGACCTAAGATATTTATAGTATCCTTCAACTATCAAAGAAATCTATCAGTATCTGGAGATTCATAACAACTACTGTAGTCACATCCACTTCTTGCATGAAAAGAATGCAAAGAACTCTATTTCGCAAAGATCACCAGCATCGCAGCCTTAAACTGAATATAATATGTTTGAGAAAACATAGACAAACTTGCGTACTTCTCTAAAAGAGCGAAGCAAAATAAGTGATAATGTCCTCCACGACTAATGAGCTGAAACAAATGTGGTTGAAGATTCCAGAATGCAGAATAGTCCATTAGAATTAACACGGAGAACAAGTATGCACAAGTAAAGAGAGCTTTCTTCTAGTAAATTTCAAAGATGTTAAAATGATGTAAAGATATCATACCCATTCGCATTTTCTGCGTTGAGACTCGCACCCCTGGCAATTAAAAGCTGAAAGTTGGGATACAAAATGACAAATCACAACTTCAGAACTTGCACCAAGTATACCAGCAAAATAAAAAAGAAAAGCATAAAGAAGAGAAACACACCTGACAACACTGAGCATTCCCGCCACATGCAGCATAATGAAGTGGTGTACTTCCTGCACCTGCAAGGTAAAGAATTACCTTTTAGAAAAGAGAAAAAAAAGATGATATCAACTCTGCTTCTTGATTCATGGCGTGAAGCCTCCTCTAAATTGTAGGCGCAATTGCACTCAAAGTCTTGTTGAGAATATTTCAGTCAACATTCTCAAAGACTAGTTGAGCACCTGTAATTGCACTCTTTATCTGCACTAATGATTTTTATTTTTGGAAACCTTTTTCTCCCTTATTAACAAACTATACAGAAAACAAGTCGCATTGATGAGATAACGTCCGACCTAGGACTAAATGATAGCATCTAGTCTGTTTGTGCAATATAGAATTTCTTTTACATAGTTTTATTTTGATAATCGTGGTGTCCGGGCCTGAACAACAACAATAAACCTAGTGTAATTTTTATCTTTTCCGAACCGATGGTCTACCGGAAACAGCCTCTCTGCCTTCTTGGAGGTAGGGGTAAGGTCTGCGTACACTCTACCCTCCCCGGACTCCACTAGTGGGATTATACTGGGTTGTTGTTGTTGTTGTGGTGGTGTCCGGGCCAGCTTCCACGCACCTTGACTAATTCCATAGGATACCTGCTACCTCCCACCAGCAACACATACCAGGTAGTTCTATCCACCAAGACTTGGATAGATGGGAAGAAATCACATAGTTTTCTTTTACAATGGTACTGGACATGATTGTAAAGGAATAGGGTATAGTGTACACAAAACCAGCCAAGAAAACAACAACAATAAACCCAGTGTAATCCCACATAGTGGGGTTAAGGAGGGTAGTGTGTACGCAGACCTTACCCCTACCTCGTGGAGATAGAGAGGTTGTTTCCAACAGCCAACCAAGAAAACAGAAAAATGAAAATCAGTAGAATCTTGTCCAAGTAAATTATCAAAAAGTAGGTAATACGAGTAGAACAAATCCAGAAGAAAACAAAAAAGTTTAGAAAGTATAAGTGACTTCAAACACTTCTTCAGACTACCTGAACCAGGCAGTGCCTCAGATAGGCATCGGCGAAAAATGGAATACAACTTGACATAGTTGTTGATAGAAAAAATAAAATAGAAAAATTGGGTTTAGATTCTGGTTATCTTGTATCTGCATCTCTAGTACTTCATTCTGCAAGCTATCAAGTAACATATGAGATCGATGACCTAAGGTCTCTCTCTCTCTCTCTCAAATATGATAACAAGAACAAGAGACAGTTAGCAGTTGTTCTCCTTGAGCTACAACAATCTTTTACTTTCTTTTGTTGAGGGGTTGGGGGGTTACACAAATGTATTAGGGCATTCAAGAGATCAATTTGATACAAGGGTTACTAGACAGAACTCGGAAAGTTGTCTCACCTATCAAATCAATTGTAGTCCCATCTTCCACAGTAACCTTAGTGACGGAAGCCCCTAAGTCCAAGAGTAGCTGCAGACTTTCAACATGGCCGTTCAGCGCTGCCATATGAAGGGCAGTAATGCCACCATCGGCAGGTCTATTGATCACCTCATGCAGTGCACTGGAGATAGCACAACGAACTTCAGGTTAATACATTTAATAGATGCAGGTGATGACAAGAAATCAAATGGAAAAGTTTAAATAAGGGATTTACAAGTCATCAAATTCTTGTATAGAGTCCTCATTTCTCGATCTCTTTCTCATGACATTACAGAAATTAGGAATGCTTGGAATATAATCAGCAAGGAGAAGCCGTATACATCGGGAATGTCCATTCAGAGCAGCTAAATGAAGTGCCGTACCTCCATTGAGATAATCAGCCCTATGAATCTAAAATCCAATAGAAACTGTAAGCTTGTGATGAATCTTGACACGCTGCCGCTACTCTAGAAAACTAGTAAAAAGTTGAAATTTCACAAGGAAAGAACATTCTTAATACTTCAAAGCGAATATACCGCAACAATAAACTATCATACATTGGCTTTGAAAAGAATGAGACTCTGAACAACTTCCCAGTGACCATACTGACACGCTTGCATCAACGCAGTCTGTTAACCATAAGACAAAATACTAGTTTCAATCAACTAACAAGTATAAGATACAAACTAAAAAAGGGGAGCCCTGGCGTAACTGGTAAAGTTGCTGCCATGTGATCAGGAGGTCACGGGTTCAAGCCGTGGAAACAACCTCTTGCAGAAATGCAGGGTAAGGCTGCGTACAATAGACCCTTGTGGTCCGACCCTTCCCCGGACCCAGCGCTAAGCGGGACTAAGTGCACCGGGCTGCCCTTTTTTTTAAGTATAAGATACAAAATAAAGGAGAATAAGATCTACCTGCCCCCGGTAGTTTCTGAGATTGATGTCAACTCCAGACTCAAGCAAGAGAGTAACAATCTGATACGACAACGAACACTCAAATGATTGATTTGCAGACAAATTCACTAAGTGTTGACTTAAACTATATAACCATCAATTTCAAAGAAAACTCAATTTTTAACTTCATATCCTACCTCATGATGTCCTTGGGCGGCAGAGTAATGGAGGGGTGAATTTCGAACACCAAATGTCGAATACCTCACTAAGCGAGGATTATACTCCAGTAAAGCCTTGGCTTCTTGGAGATCACCATCTCTAGCAGCAGAAACTAATCGCTCGCCCGACGCAGAACATCCGAATGAATTCCCAACAAGGCTCAAAAATCGCATAGTTTTCGGATATCGTTCGGGCATGATGTTAGCAGTAGATAAAGACCATTTGTACCTTGTAACTCCAACTAAATCCTAAAACTGGGAATTCGGTTGCTGTATTTACACAATGATCCTTAAACTATCCGAATCGTCATCATCATCATATAAAGAAATTCCTTCCTTACTAACAAACTAATAATAACCTCACAACCAAACTTTCCTTACACATAATTTCAATCTCAATTTGTCTAAACAATCAGAATCTCAATCTTATATTAAAATCCAATGAACCCCTTTTCAACACCTCAAACCAATATGCTTTCTGACTTGATCAATCAACCAATTAAATATACAACTTTTTCTATATATACAGAATATGATAGGTACAATCTTGATAGTGACCAATTTCGACAATAATAATGATAAAAATCAAGACTTTGTCAACTTGAGGTAAAAAAAGGAAATACCTGAGCTGGCTGAAACCATAAAAATCAAATCTTTAACCACTTAAACAACAATCAAGTTATTAACTTTTCACCTTTTGTTGATCCAAAATGTCACAAATTCAAGATTCTCAAATGCCCCACATCACAAATTTGCTGCATAATCTAAGAAACTCCAAATTTTCCAAAATCTGAGGCAAAAATTTTCCAGGAAAATACCAAGATTGAAACTTTTCACCAAGAATGGCCCCAGATCACAATAATTTTGCAGAAATAACCAAATGGGAACATAAAGAACCTCAAATTCCTTGATGGGGTTCACCAAAAATACAATCTTTAGCAAATACCCATGTCCAAATTTTCACCTGAAGGAACAAAAATGGCAAATATCTTCAAAATAAGAGACTCTCAAAAGAAGAATTTTGCAGAAATGACCTAATGGGAAAATTGAGAGCCTCAAGTTCCCAAATGGGGTTCACGTAAATGACATTATTTTGATGTTTCACAAATACCAAGAAAGTCAGAAAGACAATGATCTACCAAGAATCTCTCCTTTTTCCTTTATATTTTTATTTTTTGGATAAAACAATAAACTTTTAACACCCAATGTGCTTAAATGTAGGTAATAGTTAGGGTCGTTTGGTTGGTAAATGAATAACTAAAAAAGATAATACACCCTTCATTTCAATTTATGTAAATATATTTCCTTTTAAATCTATACCAAAAAGAATGATCTATTTTCATATTTGAAAAACAAAATTATCTTTACATAATAATTTATAGTCATACAAAATATATATGTCTCATTTTACACCATAAGTTCAAAAGTCTTCATTTTTCTTTTAAAATTCGTTGCCAATCAAATATGTTGTTCACATGAATTGAAATAGAGGGAGTATATTATTTGATTGACGTTATTAAATAATATTAAATTAATTAAGAATCTATATATTAGTTTATGCAAGATAAAATAAAAATAAAAATACATGTGTTAGTAATATATTAATTAAAGTATTTAAAGATAAAAGTATACTTTTAGACTATTTAATTTATGTATGAAATACATTCATTATTAATCACTTCGTAACAATATGTTCACTATTTTTCATCAAATGATAATTTATACATTATCAATCACCGTATAAATGAATTTCGTATTACTATTCTTTGCATAACTTACTTTTAAACCAAACGATTCCTATATATATATATATATATATATAAAAAAGCTTTTTTTTTTTTAAAGTATATGTTGAGTAGTAAAAACATGATTAAAAGTGGGGTTGAATATGGGGACTAGCAACTATGTGGAAGACCTCAAACTCAAAACCAAAAACATGCCTGCAACAAAGGTGTGTACTTCATCATTGGTTTGTTTGGATTAATGGCAGTCAATATTTGGTAGTAGTAGTTATTTTGCCTTTGCTTTTTGTCTAAATAATTTATATATTTATTTATTTATTTATATTTGATGGAGGAGGCCTAGGGAAGAGACTAATTGATGAGTGCGGGATATTACACATTTAACCTATAAGATTATAAGGGGTTGTTTGGTTGGAAAAGAAGTTATTTCGGGAATATAATGATGAGATTATAATACAGGAATAACAGTAACCATACTATTTAGTTGTTATAATTTTATTGGTAAATACTTAATTCATTGGATTAAAAATTGAATATATAGCGTATAATATAAAGCATGCGTTCGGTGTATACAGAATAAGTTAAAATTAAAATTTTTATTTCAATTTTAACCTTGGATCTTTTAAAGAACTTTTGGGGAAGAGTCTTGGGAACAACATTTTTATTATTTTATTTTATCCTGAGATAATAATCTCATCCTCAATATGTGATAGAATAATGTTATAATTGTGGTAAATTACTAAGAAGATTGTTAATCAGCCAAAGTGGGATAAAATAATCATTTATCTAATCCAGTGATTATTATCTCTTATTTCACCAACCAAACAACCTATCTTCCATTCCAATTTATATATAGTTTCACTCAATATAGAGTTTAATTAATGATTTTAAACGTGTTATAACGTTGATATAACAATTATAAAACCTATTACTAAGGATAAACATGAAGTTTAAAGTCAAATATTTCTAAATATAAAAATATGTCAAAGTTTTTAATGTGTTAGAGTAATCTACTATTGAGCGAGCATTAATTGGGTTGCTATTCTCAACTCAATTTTATTTATTTTATATTACTTTCTTTTTTTATTATTCTTTTGGGCGTGAGGATGGCATGAGATATAGAAAAGAAGGAAAAAGGAAAGTCGGAATTGTCACGTCTTACTCAATTATTAGATTTATTTCAAGTTTTTAGTTGACTTTCATTCTTCTTCTATTCCTTTGTTTTCTTTATTTAATTTAACTCGGAATGAGGAGTTTGCATGAATAGTCAGGGAAGTAATTTTTGACGGTGTGAAATCTTTTACAGTCAATTCTCTATATAATAATCTCATTTGTTCCGATATTTTTTGATAGTTATAGTGAAATATTGTTATATATGACATATATTATAACATTACCTAAATATCGATTCCGAGAAAATTTGATTATTATAGTGAATGGTTATTAGATAAAGATACGGTTATAGAGATGTCTGACTGCATTTAAGTGGTAGAAAAAGAGATAAATTATTAGGCTTAACTTCGCCTCCCATTTATCGTCTTATTAATTCTTCTTGCCTTCATTTTGACTTCATATCAAGGTTTCTTAGAACCTTGTATCACTAATCAAAGACGATATCTGGTATTTATATTGGGGTCCAATTACATATTGGGGTCCAATTACATATGAATTCACATTGGATAGTAAGACACTATCTAACAAAGACGACTTTATACAACAGAGTTCGAACTCAATGCATTTGATTAAAGATGAAAAATATTTAATACCCCACCGCAACTCTCGTTAGTGAATCATATAGGTGTTATGTACTTTATTTTTCTCCTTACCGATAAAATAATGGGATTTTTACTCATATAGTTAGTTATACTCATTGTTTATTTTTTCTAGCTGTATACATAGTTTATACATTAATTATACATAATTATACACATATAATATATAAATTATGTATATATTATACCTCCACCGACTATTTTTAATTTAAATAGTTGGGTGAGCGGCTATTTGGGTTAACTCCTATCGACTAAGATTTGCACTCCATAAAATTTTATTAACCTTTTTCTCGTAAAGTTTATGATAAGAAATCATATCCTAACAAATAGAATAAACGGCAAAGGGCCAAATATACCCCTCTAATTTCGAAAATAGTCTAAAAATACCTCTCGTTATACTATTGGGTTATTTATACCCCTGTAGTTATACTTTGGGTTCAAATATGCCCCTCATTTAAACGGAGGGACACGTGTCATCGTCCTCTTAGTCAATTCTAAATATCTCCTAATTAATTAAAAAGACTCATTATCCATACCCGAAAAATATTTTTTTTTTTTGTAAAAACTAGAAAAAAATAAAAAAATATTTTTACTAAAAACTGAAAAAAACGAAAATACTTTTTTTTCCAGTTTTTACAAAAAACTGCTTTAAAAATGAATTTTTTTTTCTAAAATAATATTTTTGTAAAAACTGGAACGAAAAAACTGAAAAGCAATTTTCTAAAGCAATTAAAAACTGAAAAAAAACTGAAATATTTTTAACTAAAAACTGGAAAAAAATATTTATTTTTTCAGTTTTTACAAAAACACTGCTTTAGAAATTTGCTTTTTAGTTTTTTTTTCCAGTTTTTACAAAAATATTATTTTAGAAAATATTTTTCAGCTTTTTTAAAGCAGTTTTTTTTTGTAAAAGCAGTTTTTCAGTTTTTAGTAAAAAAAAAAATCAGTTTTTTTTAAAAAAATGCTTTAAAAAAATTGATTTTCAGATTTTTGTTTTTTCAAAATCATTGTTTTAGAAAATATTGTTCAGTTTTTTCTAAAGCAAATGTTTTTGTAAAAACTGAAAAAAAAAAATTCGTTTTTTTCAGTTTTTATTAAAACTAATTTCAGTTTTTTTCCAGTTAAAATTGCTTTTCGGGTATGATTAATGTGTGTTTTTAATTAATTAGAAGATATTTAGAATTGACCAACAGGACGATGACACGTGTCCCTCCGTTTAAATGAGGGGTATATTTGAACCCAAAGTATGACTGAAGAGGTATAAATAACCCAATAGGCAATAGTATAACGAGTGATATTCTTAGACCATTTTCGAAAGTAGAGGGATATATTTGCCCTTTGCCGTAGAATAAATCTTCAAAGGCTAGATTAAAGATTTAAGGGCTGTTGCCTAGCTATTGTGGGGCAGGTTTTCACTTGGAATATTTAGTGCTGCTGATTTTTTTTTTTTTGTTTAATGATGTTATCAATAGTTATTAAACAGTTCATTTGGAAAATAGGATTTAATTATAAACTTCTGAATAATATATGGCATCGTTGCAAATCATGCTTTACTGACGTTATTAGCTTACAATAAATAATAAGTACAATTGCTTTTAGAAAAGGACACAAAGAAAATGAAGCCTTTATAATTTTCTTTTATAACGATGATGTATGTCCGAATCAATTCTGCATCGTCAACTGTCTAATTTTATTTTGATTAATTCGAACCTATATACCGAATAAAAGTGAAATATCTTCTCTCAATTTTTAATTGATGAAAGTATCATAAACCTAAAATGGATAAAAACATCAGATAGAATACATTTCAAAATTGTAAAATTAATTAATACCACTTTGTTTCTACCCATTTCTACTAAGGATGGGATAAATAAAAAAAACCTTTATATCTTTCATTCACTAAAATATGAATTATTAAGAAATGATTTGGCTATCAAGCGGATTGAATCATGACTAAGATTCCACTTAGATTGGATATTGTGACCCCAAGAGATTTTTTTGAATATTTATAGAGTTAAATAATGAAATATTTTAGCTTTCTTGAAAGCTACCTAAAACTTCTAATAAAAAAAATACAGTAATATTAATGGAGGTGAATATACAAATTGACAATATACCTTATCCAGATTCATACAGGAGCTAGCAACAAAGAGAGGGGCTCACTAGTATGGCCTGATTCATCTGAATCCAGTATACTCGTTGTGGAGTATAAATTTATGTATAAAAATTTATTAAAATTATAACAAACGGTTTAAAAATACAATGAGTTCAATGCTAAAAATCTTAAAAGGTGAACCCACAAAATCTAAATCCTTAATCCGCCTTCGTTCATCCAGGCCCGGAGAAACTCGACTTAAATAGTACGGTATTAGAAAAGTTTTTTTGTTGTTTTATTGTAATATTTTTTAATTAATAAAATGAAAGATCATTCCAAATAGAACAATAGAATAAAGACAGTCCCCGGAAAACCTTTATAATTCACTTTTCTCCTGTTTGTAGAATTAACCCAAATAGCCTTCCACCCTACCATTTAAACTAAAAATAGCCGATGAATATATAATATATGCATAATTTATGTATTACATGTGCATAATTGTGTACAATCAATGTATAATCTATGTATATGGCTAGAAAAGTAAAC